ATTATAAAATTTTAAAATTAAGTTACTAGAATAAAATTTTTAAAAAAAAATAAGTAACAAAAATTTATTTTTTGAAGTTTTATAATAACATGTCGACAATGCTACGTGGCTTGTCAGATTATCTGGAAATGTCATGTGGCACATGACAATTAATATGGTACTATCATGTTAGCATGCCGTTAATCATTAATGGTTAAATGACAAAAGAATTTACTTAAATTTAAATGATTAAATTAAAAAATTAATATTTAAATAATTATTTTAAAAAATAACTAAAATTTAATGATTATTTAAATATTTTATCTTTTTTTTTAAATTAAGGACATGTTTGTTGGAAGGAAATTTTCTCTTTCTTCCTTTTGATTTTCGATAAACAATTTTTTTAATTTAATATTCTAAAGTTTTTATTTTAATAAAAAGTATTTTTCTAATTTTCTTTCACAAAAATTTTTACTTTTTGACTTTTCATTGAAAAAAATTTGACAAAACAAAAAATGTTTTTTTTTTTTCTTATAAGGTAATTTTTAATCTACATAAATAAAGCCATCCCAACTTAAAATTAAAGCTAAATTCATGAACAACTCATATTTATCTTAAATTATAATTTGAATTTTAAATTAGATATAATATTATAAACATTTGGGTTAAATTTGATTTTGTTAATTTTAAAATTGACACAATAATTTAAGAACAAAAATAATTTTATTAGATTAATAATTATTTTAAAATTAAAAGTCATTGTTTTGTGTTATTTAAAAATTAAAAGGTTGATAGCACTCGTGTTTCTAAAACTTTAACCAAAATTTTATTTTGATATTTAATTTTTAAAATATTTTATTAGATTTTTAATTGTCCAAATTTGTCTTATTTTGATCATTTTATTTATAAAAACATCTAAATTAATGGTAAATGTCAAATGGCACAATGTGAAGATGTTAGTTGGTAAATAAAAAGGGACCAAAATAAAATTCATTTAAGTTTAAGGACTAAAGACGGAAAAATATCAAATTTTATGTTTCATATATAATTCATAAAATAGTGAAGTTAAAATTATATTTTTATATTCTTGTTGTAATATAATTTATTACTTATATTTTTTGTTTTTAATAGAAAATAGATTTTAAAATTTTAAAATTAAATTAAAATTTCAATTATTTTAAAATAAAAATTATTTTCTATTAAAAATATTTTTTACTCATAAATCATAATAAAAATATTATTTTCTATACAAAATATATTTTTTAAAATATTAAATATATTTTATTTTGCTTTTTCAAATATATTTTTATAAAAAATAGAAATAATTAAAGAAAAATTTATTTTTATATATTTCAAATATATTTATAAAATATTATAATTTAAAATATCTTTAATTTTTATTATGATATGATTTATCAATAAAATAATATTTTTAATGGAAAATAAATTTTTATAAAATTAAAATTAAGTGAAAATTTTCCAATAATTTTTTAAAAATTACATATTAATTTAAAAAATAAATAAAATTTTCCATATCGGTTTAAGAAATTAGAAAAAAAAAAACTCCATACCGTTTTAAAAAATTATGTAAAAATTTTCATATCATTTTAAAAAATAAATTTATTAATCTATTCAAAAATTTATTTTCTATCCAAAAAATCTAATTTGAATATTTTTTTGTTAAAAGCTATTTATTCATATAAAATAAAATATATAATTCAAAATGTTTTATTTTTTATTTTTTATAAAATATATTTTATAAAATATATTTAAAAACGAAAAAGAGACATTTAATATTATAAAAAATAATTTTTTGGATAGAAAATAATGGTTTTATTATAATATAAGAGTAAAATCATATTTTTAATAGAAAAAAGTTTTTTTTTTTGTTTTTAAAATGTACTGAATTTTTTTAAAAAATGAATATGAAAATTTAAACTTGATTTTTGAATTTTTTTTCTATTTAAAATAAAAAATCTAATTGATAAATTATATTACAACAAAATACATAAAATATAGTTTTAAATTTAATATTTTACAAGATATGCATAAAATATATAAAATTTTGAAATAATTTTATTCTTGATTCCTAAATTTTGAGAGAATTTTATTTTATTACCTCCTTACCAAGTGAGTGCCAACTAACATCATCACATGATGTTAGTTAACATCTATCGTTAATTTATATGATTACATAAATGGAATAAACAAAGTAAAATAACTTTGGGCAATTGGGAATCACTTATAACTTTTTAAAAATTTTGAACCAAAATAAAATTTGAATAAAAATTTATGGACTACAAATGTTATTATCCCAAAATTAAATCTATACTCTACTATTATTTTGGCATTTAAGAGGAAGAAAGGGACATTTGGTCAATCAAGGTAATTGAATGATGAGTATCTTTAATTGTGATACTTTGATTAGGTTGAGTTGAATTAGTCCTAAGAGATTATAAGATTTATAATTAATTAAATTTATGAATACTATTTAATTATTTTTTTAATTCTAAATTATGTGAATCTAATTATTTGTGGATTTAATTATTTATAAATTTAATCATTTATGAAATTATGATATCAATGAATCTAATTAATTGTAGATGAATATGCTTTATGTTTATTGTTATTTAAATTTAATATTTTGAGTCTACATTCATATTTATTATTGAGTAGCATAAATAATCATAAATCAAATTTAAATTATATGAATCTAAATTTAACTATTTATGATTAGTATAATGAACTCAATTCATTTTTTTTTATGTTGTAATATTATAAGTTCTTAGTTTGTATCGTTAGAAATTATATTTTAATTTTTAGTTTATATATTAATGGGATAATGATTAAATAAATTTGTTTATTTATCGCTTAGATATTATTTTATAAATATATATTATTTATTCATATTAAATAAAAATATAATCCCAACGTAGTCGGGTAATATTTTCTGGTGAAACATAAAAATGGTACTCTTAGAATTTGATACCAATGGCTTTATGGAAGTAACGTTGTAGTTTCAATTGATATCAATTAATGAGAGGAAACAAAATATTCTTGACATTATAATTTAAGGAAGGTTAAAAAAAAAAAATTCTTGAATTTTATAATTTTATTTAGATATATTTATATATTTTTATTACATTTAAATAAATCTTTTATTTTTATATTGGACTTAAATAAATTTTTAAATAAAATTTTAATTTTCAATTTATATCTAAATAAATCAAAATTAAATAATGGATGGATTGTGAAATAACGGCTGCTATTTCACAGTAATAGTAAGTCATCTACCACTGCTAAAGTTTGAGAAGCAATTCATATCAATAACGGTACTTCACGACCGCAAATAACGACATAACGAAAAATAACATAAAAAATGAAGTCTTACATCGGCTGTTAAGTTCTATCGAGCTTGTGTTATATGTATATTTTCTCTTTTTTTTTTTTATTAAATTAAAAGGCTAGGCCCTACCGAAACCAGAAAAGAACCAAACTCAAACCATAACAATCAAACTCAGCAATTTTATGCTGCAATTTTCATATAAAAGAAAGAATTAATTTAAAGAAATAACAAGAAATTCACTTAAATATATATATATATATATTTTTTTTCACATATTGGGTGCTTTTCTACAACTTCCAGCCTTCCATAACCCTTTATCAGCGTGGTATGGCTTCTTGCTGTTCTCCAATTTTGAGAGAGATGAGACAAGATTTGAAGGTAGAATTGAAGCAGAGGGTATGGGTGTTGCATGAGAGTGATTAGCTGTGTTTGGTTTTGGGTGGATCGATAGTGGGATGAGAAAATTGAAAAGGCTGCTTGGGAGTTGGATGGGGAAGAAATGGTTGGCAAATTGGAGTTAAAAAGAAGAAACAGAGAAGGTTGTGTAGGGCAGAAGGGTTGCTTAGTCACGTGATGGTCTTTGTAAGTAATAAAATTAGTTTTTTATTTTCTTGTTTAATTAGATAAATTTTTGAGAGGGAGAGGTTTGATCCGAAATAAAAATTTGAAAAATTTTTAATTAAATTAAAATTGAGAGAGAATGAAAGATTATCAATAGTAAATTTATTTTTTATAAGAGTTTTATATTTATAAGTATTATTTAAAATAATTAATTTTATATTAAAATTTTGCTATAATTAATGTTATTTTTTATTGTATTTTTTGTGTTTAATTAAAGTTAGATTGTAACTATTGATTTAATTGGTAAATTAATAAAATAAAATTTTCATTCATTACTTTTTTCAATTAAATTATTAATTTATGAGTTTTATACACTTGAAAAGAAAAAAAAATTTAATTTCACATGATATTATTCTTTTAATCCTCCATAGTTACATTCGTCATGTTAGTAAAATTCATAAATATCTAATTAAACAATTTTTAAGTGTTTATATTGACTATTTAGCTGCAATATAACAAAATGTTAATAATTAATTTTAATATATAAAAAATAAAATTAAAATATCTTAAATTTGTAAATAACATAAAATATAAATATTTATGATTACAATTATTATTTATTTTATTTGAGATAAATTGTGCAAAATTAAAAAAAAATTATCATCGAGTGTTATTAATGTTATCTTATCCATTACATCCGTAATTGTGATAAATATAATGCGATAAAAAATATTATCACAATCGTAATTTAAATTTTTATCTTTAACATAAATAAATTTTTATTTGAAATAAAAAATTATTTGAATACAATTAAAGAATAAGAATTTATTTGTATACAATAAAAATATAGAAATTTATCTAAATAAAATAATAAAATTCATGGATTTTTTAGTATTTTAGCCTTTAAAATGTATTTTGATGATCTTTTAATCTCACTATATTAAAAAAAAAAAAAATCTTGAACCAGCCGGTTAACCAAGAAAAAGCTAAAGATTCCATTCAAAAACCAGAAAAATATCAGATAGCCCAAGAGAAAGTTGAGGAATTTTTTTTTTTTCATGTATCTAACAACTATTTACAAGATCAAAACTATTTACAGGTGTTGATGATCTTTTAATCTCACTATATTAAAAAAAAAAAAAAATCTTGAACCAGCCGGTTAACCAAGAAAATGCTAAAGATTCCATTCAAAAACCAGAAAAATATCAGATAGCCCAAGAGAAAGTTGAGGAATTTTTTTTTTTTTCATGTATCTAACAACTATTTACAAGATCAAAACTATTTACAGGTGTTGATGTTTCTATGTATAAGATTTAGCCACAGATGAAGTGGTGAGCAGGCCAGAGAGAAGGCCAACCAAGAGGGCACAGTTATATGTGCTTGGCTCACCCTGTTGTGTATTGTTTCGAGTATCAGAATAGGAATCATTCAGAGAAGGGCCACCAACAAGTGCTCCAACAGCTATATTTGGATTGGGATTGTCTGAATAAAGCCACTTGAATCCATCTTTGCAGCCAGTATCAGCATCCACTGGAATTGAAGATCCCCTATGGTGTACATATTGGGGGTACCTGCTCCCATAACCAACAAGATAGCTTAACTTCATGGGATTTGCTCCCAACACATAATCTGCCTGAAAAATATATTCCACAACTGGTCAGCAGTAGCAAAGAGAGGCATTTGTCAAATCCTATTTTACATGTCTCTTTAGGAATGCCTGCAGGTTTTATTTTATTTTCAGAAGCCCTTTGAAGAACAGTGACTGAGTTCTAATCCATCTTCCGGAGCAATGTTCAACTTTCTTCAAATACTTTACCATCAACTTTAGTTGCATTCTTGTTTGATAGTTGAACCAGGACCAATAGTGAAATTTATATTTGTTTTTGGCTTGTTTTCTGTAACATCATTCTATTGGTATAGAGATTAGAGCTAATACTCTTGGTTCTAGTGGTAACTACTGAATCAAAAGAAATTTTAAAAAGCATAGGAGAATTTATGGCTTCCTTCGCCACTAGTTTAGGTCTACCTGAGAAATAGCAAACTTGCGAAGATCAGCTGGCTTGTAGGAATTCCCACTGCAATATAGTGTTTCAGTTTGCGACGTGAGCATGTAATCACTATAAAGAATAGCTAGGAATGCAGAAGCCACAGGATGCAGCAGTGAGTTCCATTCCGTGACCCATATTAGGCCACCTGCAATGAAAACGTATTTCCAACTATAAAGAGAGTCTGCTTTAAACATATTATCAGAATTTTTAAAATGTACAAATTCGAAAGTAGCTACTGTATTAACAAATTAGTGCATTTTCCACTTTAGATGAAGGACCAGGGGAGAGCCGAAAACAGAACCATATGAAAGGAAGGGACTAGGGAGACCTAAAAACTTAGGTGATGATTGGTGATCGAATGGTATGACAGATCTATATTCTCAAGCATTTTGATTAACATACTGCCATCCGTAAACCTACCAGAATTCTGGTAACAGGACTAAAAGACTCTTGTGTCACGGGTGAGACTTAAGCTCCGAATCCGCGCGGCTTCAGGACCCGAGCATTCATCCTTCCGGCGTCACCCTGGGCATTCACCTTTTCGGTGTCCCAGCTCTGGACCCCTGATCTCAGGGTTTTATCCTACAAAAGGCACCTCACAAGGCGGAGATGATGTGAACCCTTTTATACCCCAGTGACCTTCCTATTATGTTTGATGTGGGATTCAAGACTCCCCTTAGATCCGTGACACTTGCACGTGGTTTAAGCCTAAGCTTGGTCTTGTATAGGTTTCGGTGCATCGAACTATTATTTGCCGTATTGAACATGGTAAACTTTTAGTTTCTGTAAAGAAGTACTTGAACCTTGACATAACAGACAGATTATAAATATTTTAACAATATTCTGGCAGAACTTTAAAGCTGTACTTAGGTTGCAAGCTTAGAACTAGACTAGGAAAGAAATATGCTTGAAATAGGATTGAATGTCCCCGGTCAGGGGAGATGAAGATAATCAGAATTATATAGGAAAGTTACCATCTGTTCTGTTTGATGTGGCCGTTGGTGAATCTGGTAGAAGACCACACATGACAGCCTCAGCTGTTTTCCTGTACATCTGGAGATATAGGTTCTGGACTGTTGGAATATCTTTGGCACCAAAGAAGATTATCCTGGACAGCAGGATCTGCATCAACATAGAAAAAATTAAGATAACTGTGCTACCTTAACCAATTTTTTAAGCTCATCAAGATTTTTCAAACCGGTAATAATGTCATTGACATCCTTGCCTCATCTCTTTGCTTACAAAGAAATCAAGTAGTACTTATGATGAAAGGGAAAAGGGAAAAAAATTCTAATCATGATTATACCTGAGCTCCAGCAAGCTTGTCATCCCAGCTGAACCAAGTTGTACTCCCCCAATTATCAAAATTTTGTCCATTTAGCTCGGTTACATATCTCAAGTATGATTCGTATCCTGTAGCATGATAAAGCCACGAAGCAGCCCACAGCAGTTCATCTCCATATCCTGTGGAATTGTAGAATTTCTGCACTTGAGGAACACTGATGCTGTAAGAACCTCTGTAAGTATCAGCAAAAGTGAAGAGTTGCCGAGCATGCATAAGGAGCAAATTGGAATAAACGGGGTCACTTTTCTTAAAAACCAGGGATGCTGCCGCCATAGCTGCAGTTGTTTCCGCCGCAACTTCTGTTCCAGGCAAAGATGTGTTAACCTGTATTATAGGCCTTGTCTCTGACATGGTTTCAGGTCTTTCCCAACATTTGTGGTCTAATTCTGGATCTCCCACCTTCAACCACAAAGAAAGAAAGATATACCGTAATTTAGAAGCCAAATTGAAATTGCTTACAGATTATTCATAATAAAGCTATTTTACCTGGATATAAAGCACATTTTCAGAAGGGTGTGCATGGATAAGGTAATCTGTGATCCACCTAAGCGAGTTCTGTGCATATCCCAGTTGCTTCGCAGCATTCATCTGATCACCATACTCTAGAATCGCCCATGACAGCACTGTGGCAGTGAATGCCATTGGAAAACCGAATTTCATTGCATCTCCAGCGTCGAACACTCCTTTTGATAGATCCAAATTCCCTTCACTCCCATCTTGCAGCCCCGAGTCCCCTCTCCAAGAAATCCTGTTATCCACTAACTTGCCAGCTGCAAAAAAAAAAAAAAAAGGAAAAGAAAAAAAAAAACGTAAGTACCCAGCAGAAGGGAAAAGAAAAGGGAAGTATAGCAACTGCATGTTTATTCATCAAAGTTGGATACATTTTTGTACGTCAAAGAATTGAAGAGCTATTTCAAGAGCATCAGCATATTTCTTGTTGATGGGGTGATCACTTGGAACTCCATGTTTCTTGAAATAATGAAAGTCCCTTAAAATAGTGAGTACAGCTGTTGTTACTACAAGAGCTGCAATTAGTAAAACTAGCAACCTCCAAAACAGGCCCCTGGATTTCGAAGCCTCGCCCTCCTTCCCTCCCATTCAGTCTTTGAAATCCCTTCTGCTTCAGGCAAAGGTGTAATAATCTTTCCAACAAAAACATGGAAACGAATATTCGCCACAGAAAAAGTAATCCCACATTGTTAAGTCAGTCCAAAGCTCCAAAACGGAAACAGAATGGAGCTTTCAGGGTGACGACACGACCGAACAATGCAAGAATCTAATCTGGGAATCAGATTGAAAACAAAGTTCAAGTATCTTCTATTCTTCTCCTACTAAAAATGCCTGATAATTTTTATGCATGAATGCAGCTGAGTCAGATAAGCCATTGGATCCCTGAAGTCCCAGTCGAATGGAGGGTCGGCATGTGGCCGAAGAGTGATACCCTTGTGGACAACCGGACAATGCCGCAGGTGAAGCCAGGAAGACAAGGCGGCTTGTCGTTTGCTTCAAAATTAAGAAGGAAGATATTCCATGAAATCTGGTCAGTATTTGGGTTTTGGCGATATACATCGGTATACTAAAATTGATTTTTTTTCCCTTTTGATAACCGTAGTTTGCATAAGTGGTTGAAGGTTGAAGCATAATTCGAAGTCTACAAAAAAAAAGTACAATTGTCCTGTTTGCCGACACAGCTGTAGGGAAGCATGCGACTTGTCTTTATTTTAAATCTGTGGAGAATCAATGTGACCTCGACGAAGATGGGGCGAAGAAAGAAATTGAATGCCAAAATATTGGACCTTTGTTCGGCCCAGCGGTGCAGGAAGGAGCACAAGGAGATGAAAAACAAGGTAATTTTGGTAAACTTTTTCGGGTTTTGAAATTTGGGTTTTGATTTTTGCGATCGGTTAACTGTTTTGGTCTGTGTTTTTTAACAATTTTTTGAGGAAGTAGCAACCAAGCCATAATTTCATTGTCATTATTTACAGGTATGTCCACGGATTAGGCCGTACAGAAATAATGGCCGCCCAATTTTCCCTTCATACCGAAAATATAATTCCCTACGGTCTTTCAAAGGCCAAAGGGCACTAGACAACTTGCTGTCGCAATTGATGGCTACCGTGCAGGCTGCAGGCTGCAGCTGTGTTCTGTGGTCCAGGGGTAATGTGAAAGTAAGCAACAAACGTCGGGCAGCAGATCCAATGAGTTCAGGTCTTGACAACAGGAATCGCAAAGGAGCTAAGAGTTTAAAAGTGGATGCTACACCAAAGGCAAATCCTGCATTAGTATTGAAACGACTAACAATGTCTCAAATTGATGATCCCTATGCTGATCCATATTCTGAAAGCCATTGCATTGCAATCATAAACAGAAATGTAAGGTGTTGATCGCCACCTTTATAATGGTGCTGTGGATTTATTTCAAAATTCATTTTGGAGGAAGAAATTCGCGCGTGTCAAAAAGTGAGAAAAGGTTGAACTTGTTGAAAGCCATGCGCCAAGTGCCTAATTATGCAAGTTTCATAGCCAAGCCAACTAAGATACTTAGATGAGCTACTAGTAGTTTTTTACTATGTTGATTACAAAATGAACCCTGCAGCTGTGTTTTGTTGTTAAGGTGCCGACTTTAAGCTTGATTGTTTGTGCAGGGCAGATTCTGCATTAACCATGTAGTTTAGGCTTCTATTTTCCAGTTTTGTGACCATATATATCTCATCCTTTACTATGGTAGTATAGTATATACACTTGACTTTTGAAAAGTATCATGTTTTCCAATTTGCGTTGATGTTTTCCTAATCAGCAGATGCAGGAGATCGATCCCATTTTCTCACATGCTACCAGATGGACCATGCTAATCTGGTGTTCCATAATTTCCATCAAACTGCAACTTACTGCCCAAGTTATCTTCAAAATTAGTTATGCGCTACAGAACAATCACTTACAATTACAAATTACAATAGAGTTTCTAACTATGAGTAGCAGTAAGGAGATGTGGAACGCTGTTGAACTTCTTTACCAGACTAATGCATATGTAACAGTGGGGAAAAAAAGGAATCAAAGTAGCCCATCCACCAAGGACCTCATATGGAAATAACTCAATTTTGCCTCAGTGCTTGAGATGGTTCTGGAAAGCTTTTCGATCACAGCCTTCTTTTCCTGAATTTGGAGGGCTTTCTTTTGTTGTTCAGGTTTTTGTGTATGGCAACTTTCAAGCTCTTTCTCCATCTCAATTGCTTGAAGATTTTTCCTCGTTTCTTCCTCGAGGGTGGAAGAGTGCTTGACTATTTGCACTGCCTCAATAATTTCATCTAGTCTCTTGTGGAGCCAACTAATTTGCAACTTCACTGATTCCAAATCAGAAACACTTGCAAGCATGGACTGGAGCTCAAGTTCTGTTAAATCTTCCAATTTTGCTGCTTGTAGTTTCTGGATGATGCCACAGGCAATCTCCAGCAGAGATGAACGGCATTGCATTGAATTCAATGTGCTGTTGGAAACAATGTCTCCATGTTTCAAAAGAACTGCTCTAAGGATAGCTGCTAGTTCTGCCTTTATTGTATACTCACCCACCGTCTTTGAATTAGAACCAACAGCGAGAAATGTTATCAGATTATGATTTGGAGAGTCACCATTTGTCATATCAGTTTTAGTGGAAGCCTTGCTTTTACTTCCTTTCTCCTGCTTGGGATTGCTACCATCTTCTCCCTCTGGCATTGTCATTTCTGAAGTTGCCTCTGATGCCTGATAGAGGTAAATCAAGGGATGATCGTTACAAGTGCAAAATAGGCTACAAATGGAAATAGTAATAATCCACTGACTTCTTCCACCTGCAAGTCACTCATGCCAACGGTCTGATCATGCACATGACATTGAAGTAAACACTCATAAACGATGTGGGTTAACTTAAATATAGGACAATTTCACTAATCTAACGTGACCAAAAGTCATATCCCTTTGGCCTAAAAAGCTAACTTTCTGCTACGCAGGAGACACCAATAATATCAATCCACAGTCAGTTAGTAAGATCCCATTATTTCATATCAACTCACCATTGCAACAGTTACAAAAATAGGAACACTAATCCTCTGCCTGAACATGTTTGCTATTATACCATTTTCTAATCTCCAAAGACCAATTTTAACAAGCAAAATTCCATTAGTCTATAGAATGCTTCGACCAGGCATCAACATATGCCTTGTCCAAAGCAAAGTCATTTTAAAATGCTGACGTATTAGAATATGATCAAGAAACTAAATGACATTGCTTATGGAGCAGTTTATATAACATGAGCATGAAATGGTTGAAATTTGAGTTACCTTGCTCTCTAGAAATTGAATTATGCCCTCTAGACAAGTTTTGGGATCTTTGGACTTCATTAGTTCACCAGCAACTTCAGCTGGGGGAACTGGAATCTCTTCTATAATCTTTTCAATACGAGAAAAGAGATCATGATTAGAAATGCCAAGGTAGATGGCTGCAAGTTGCTTGAACGTAGAGAATGTGCAATAGGATAAGCATATGTGCTTGTCCATGCGACCTGCTCGCAACAGCGCTGGGTCAATTCTGTCCTTATAGTTGGTGGTGAAAACAATAATCCTCTCATCTCCGCAGCATGACAGTAGGCCGTCAATGGCATTCAAAACTCCAGAAAGCGTCACCTGATGAAATGACAAATGACAATAACACAAATTTAAGAGCCTTCATACAAAGGGAAAATTGATGAATCAAGTCTGGATGTTCATGAATTTACGTATTTTGTGGTATTAATTGGGTTTATTGTTATCAAACTAACCCTATAGGAATTAGGAAAGCAGATTCAGTAGTTCAAAAAGTTCCAAAGTTTTTAAGAATGGCTAGAACAAATAAATGAACATTCAAGCAGAAATAGAGAAATAAAGTATACATACCAACATTTATTGAAATACGAGAAATTTACTGTCATTAATAAACAAGTAAGAAAAAAGACATTTCCAGAATATAGATACACAAGAAAAATGAAAAGCTCATCTTCAAGATCAGATTAGTTTGTAGTTTATTTGAATCTATATTGAGTTGAGGGAATAGGAAAAACCTGGACATGTGCATAACTCCCTGTTTGATCCCCTGCTTCCCTGTTCTGTAGTTTGACTGTACAGTCAATATCTTCAATCACAAGAATAGAACGATTTGACACATGAAGCAACAAGTACTCAAGAGAGGAGTCCGAGTGGACTGCAGATAAATTCAAGTTGTAAATATCAAAGTTCAGATGGTTTGCCATGGCTGCAATCAAACTTGATTTTCCAGTTCCTGGTGGACCATATAGCAAGTAACCACGCTTCCACACTTTTCCAATTTTTTTGTAGTAATCCTTTCCATTGGTAAAGCTATTAAGATCCTCCACAATAGTCTTCTTGAGGTCTCCATCCATGGCTAGAGTATCAAATGTCATGGGATGCTCTAGATTGACAGCATTTGTGCACCACCTTTCACGCCTGATTGTGTGAAACTTCACCATCCGGTTCTCGTCTTTCAGTTTTTTGGCCATGTCAATGACATGAGGGAGATACTTGCTCATTACCATTTCAGTGTGCTTTTTCTGAAAACTAAGCTCATACCACCTTGATTCAGATGTCATTTGATTATTACTATTTGAGTTAACATCAGAATTGTATTTCCATTTCATGGGAACACCATGGAAGAAATCCACAATCTCCGAGTGTTTATCAAGGCCAAACGTGAACTTCCTAGCATTCTCATTTTTGCCTACAGTGAGCCGTTTGGTAGAACCATCAGTAGAAGAAGCAGACAGCACATGCCTACCAAGGTATGCCATGGCGGCCTTGAAAATATGGTTGCTTGATCCATCGTGTGATTCTTCGATAACCAAGATGAACTGTGATGAGAAACGGCGAAAGAGTCTCCAAAAGTACTCTCTTATTTCCTTCGGAAAGAAGTCATTGAATGTGCTGCGGATAATGGCGAAAGTAGCCAACAATGATAGTGTTGATGCCATAGCAAGCTTTAGCCTATTGATTTCCTCTCACTAGTAGCAATTCTTTGGGTCAATTTATACAGGAGGAAGGTAACAGAAAAGTTATATTCAATCACCAGCTTATGGCTGTGACAGAAATTTCCTAGCTTTTTTTTTTCTTGGGGGGGGGGGGGGGGGGAGGCTATAGGCGTAGAGAAATTTGCTTGTTTTTTAACACACGAAAAGTTGAAAGAAAGGGCGCAAAGTTCAGTCATACGTATGCCATGTCTAAAAGTCTTATTTGGTCAATAATGGAGATTAGAATAACATCTGAGTGTGACCTATCCACGCAAGAGCCACGTTCAGCCAAAATAGAATTAAACTGATAAAAGTATGATCTATCAAATGTCAATAGATTGGAAGGTACCGGAAGCTCGTGCTTGGACAAAAATGCACGAATAATGGAATCTATTTTAAGTGCCAGTTTCTTTCCGTGAAGTTTCCGTTTCTTACTGTGTCAATTTCACACATTTCCTTTTCGTTAAATGCTCCATTCTCAGTCGTCCATTGTGGATCCTGCCATTCATTAAAAACACTTTCGTGGATGGAAATTAGCGCATAAATGATAGACGAGCTGTAAAGGGGCCGAGTGATTAAAATAGCAAAATATAATATTATCAAAAACTTATTTGGGGGGCCATGGGCCTATGTCATTGTCAGGTTTTTGTGTACTTCCGTCTTGTCATTATTATTTTGATTAAAGTTAATATGATTTTATATCATATGGAATTTAATTTGATATTTTTATATTGTATAATATTATATAATTTTAAAATTTAATCTAAATTTTTATATGATTTGATTCGGATTAAATCAAATTTTATTTATTTGGTTCAATTTATTGATTTTTAGTCCTTTTATGTTTTTATATATTATTTTAATATAAAATTTTAATATATTTAAATAGATTTTGACATAAAATTATTATATTTATTTTATAAAAATTAAAAAATATAAAAATTAATAAAAATATACAATTCGATTTGATTAGGTTTTTTTTTTTATTATTTTTCACTTATCGATCTAAAATTTGATTCGAACATAATATATATATTTAATATCTGAACTTAATTCAAATTTAATAAGAAAAAAAAAACCAATATGAACTAAACTGAACATTACAATTTTGAATCTTTTATTTTTTCCCACCTTTGACCTTGATGCGGAGTAGCGAACAAAACCTTGTGCATGGGATGGTAATCTCAGAGTAGTGGGCAAGTAGTATGAGCCGTAGAGCTAAACGGACGTGCAGTTACCCTAGAACTTGATAGCTTGGTGGGGTGCTATTAGGTGAGCTTTATTACAAGCACATTCAAGTGGGTTAGTAAAGCAATGAGTTAGATGCTATCAACATGAAGACCAAGAGAAAGATCATGGTGCCTTAAGCTGGTTTGACTTGTACTTGGAATTGCCTGGGAAGAAAAATATCCCCATTTTAGACATTGTTATGGTTCCTAGTAGTAAAGCCCTAAAAGCTCTTACGTTCTTTATAGGAGATGTTCGGTATCAACTATCCAACACCCCTTTGACTAGCCTGTAGGCGGGGGCTTACTAGTCTAAAATGAGTAACTCTTAGGCACATGTAGTGTCTAAATGGGTGGGTATCATAGAGTCATGAATGTGGAATGGTGTTTACTCTGGATATGGTAGACTCAAGGACAATTTGGGTCGACGGGCCTCGTACTGCATTAAGCCGTGGGGTTACATCATAGCATCCGATATGCCTCTTGATTTCTTTTTCATAAGTCAATTAATGAGTAACTAAGGATCATGGGATGGTGCATGCATAAAAGGGGCACCAATAAGCCTGATGGATGAATGGGCTAGTGGGCAAGCTACTAGCGCTTGTAACTTCTCGATAACATGTGTAGGAGTGTGTTGTAGCTAGGCCAACACACTTGAGTAACTTGATAAGATGTGAGCATAATGTTGGGCATACATAATGCGTGCAGACAGCATAAAGAGAGGTTAAAAGGCATAGCCCCAACGTGTGAGTTTCGTAAATAATGAATTAAGCCTAGTGTGGGTTTGGGTTGGCTGTAGACTAGCATTTAAGTAATGCCTCAAGTTTCCAGGCACAAGTGCAACTGAGTATGTGTATGAGTATGGTATTGGGTTCTCACTATGTTAGAATGTGATGGTTTATTGAGATTCGGGCTGTGTGCTCTATAAAAGCCCTTGGAGGGTCGGTGCTTAAGACCCTGGTGCTTATGGACATTCGATGGGTGCTCAAGGTCACCTAGAGATGTGTTAGCTAGTTATGTGATGGGAGTTGGGTTCCTTTCTCAATGAGATTTAGTAAGTTGTGGAGGACTTTATGGGGCTATGTCACGCCTTGAGACCGAGTTGCAACATGAACATATTACTTTGTGTCATAAAGTATAGATCCGTTGATTTATCGCTAGACATAAACTAAAGAAGTCATAATCAATTTTTTTTTTTGTTTAGGTGCGATTGGTCACTTGATAAAATCTGTCCCATTTAAAGATTAGTCCTAAGATTGACTTAGGTATCTATAAACAGTATATTTTGATCCATGAAACCAGATTTAATATTTAGGAGTACAATTACACGTGAAGAAGGTTATAGCATCCTCACAGCATCTATCCAAAAGATGGTACTAGTTTAATTTCAAATTATCCAAGTCTTAGCCATATTTATGATTTACCAAAAATATTTAGTATTGAAAATTGATATTAAAATTACTCTAATAGTTTAGTAGCAATCTAAGATAATTCTTTTACTTCAGAAGTATTCATAGAGATTAGAGTTTCACTTTGAAGCGGCTCCGTCGTTGGATTCATTAATATAATTTATTCATAAAAATAAATAGTAAAAGTTTCCAAAGTTTGGTAAGATTTACTTTGGTGTAGATCTCCTAATAGTTTTGTGAGATTTTATAAGTTTATTTTTAAAAATTGCATTAAATCTTTCAATAGTTTGATAAGATTTAATTTAAGATGCAAATTTTTCAATAGTTTGGGAGGATTAAAATAAGATATTTCATCAATAATAATTTTTTTAAATAAAGAAATTAATTTATATAATTTTTCAATAGTTTGGTAGAACCCATTAAAATTTAAATTCATGAAACATCCTCCAATAGTTTGGTAGGATTCATGAATCTATTTTAGAAAATTTTTTTATTTTATATATTTTTTAATAAATAAATAAAATGAAATTCATAAAATAATGTGTTGTTCAATTTAAAGTAATAAATAATAATAAAGGATAAAATAATAGTAAAAAAAGATATACATATATAATAAAATGAAAATAAAATTGGAAAAATAAAATCAAAACAGAAAATAAAATGAAAAAAAAAAGAAAGAAAAAATCTGCAATCGGGTCAGGTTGTGCAAGTGGGTCATGCGTGGATCCAAAATGAGTTCATACGGGTCCTGAGTTACATGAAACGGCATCGTATTAGGATGTTATAAAAGTAAAAAAATTTGCTTCTTCCTCAGATTGCCTCAACCGTTTCTCTCTCTTATTAGTTTTCTCTTTGTCTTTTCTTTAGCTAGTAGATGAACACCGGTGCAAAAATTTCAAAATACGACAAAAAACCCAGTTTTTGGTTGTCGAAATCACCAAATATCTTCGGAATCTTCAACTCTTAGCCAAAAAATTTAGAAAGAAAATTCAAACATTCAAACTTTAACTATGATTTTCTAGTTTTTTTTTTCAGAAATCCTAACTTTTCCAAATAAAACCAGTAACCACGAAAGATTAAATCATTCTAGAAACACAATCCCAAAACAATTTTTCACGTAAACAGAACCCAAATCTACAAAAATATCCTAGCAAGAAAAAAACAAATATTTCCCTTATGCCAAAGTTTTACCTTTTTTTTTCTTTTCCTTCTTTTGCGTAATTTAGGGTTTCATTTATAAGGTTCATTTTTACAAAGATTTTAGGGATTTCATTCAATCAAATCTCACAAATTGATTTAAGGTTTTATTAAAATTAATTCACAGTCACCATACGATTCCTGGCTTGGTTTTAAACAATGCCCTAATCTATTGATTCTTTTACATTTAGAACCTTGATCTAATTTAGAGCTTTGACTTTAATCAATAAATGACCCTGATTTCAAGATTAACCTTCTCATAAAAAATCCTAATTTCATTTTCCTTTTTCCTTTTTTATTAATTATCAATTTTTTATTCATTGTTATTAAGGCAATAAACCAAAAAATAAAAAAAACACCAATCGAACCAAAATTAGGCTCAAATCCCAGAATCATTTCACCATCCAATTAAATGACCTAATTTAAAAATAAATGGGATTTTCGAAAGCCCATCAAAATGACAAAATCAAAACTGAGAATTCACATGCCTCAAATGAAATGGAATGTTTACAGTTACTCCTTTTTGCACATTCCTATGAAACAAAAGTGATGCAAAGATATAGATAGCCATTAAGTTTTATTTGAAAAGTAAAATTACCTATGTTAAATTGAATTTAGGTGTAAAAATGATCGAACTAAGCAAAGTCGAAAGTAATTAACCTACATAAAGATGACCAAGACTAAACCACCAGTCAAAGAAATGAATGATTTATACCGAACCAAAATTGAAAATGAGTGACCATGATTGAACCGTAAGTCATAAAAATAAAATAACTTGGATCGAGTCAAGGTTAGGAATGAGTGACAGGGATTGAACCATAGGTCGAAAAACTAAAATGACTTAGACCGAGCCAAGGTAAAAAATGAGTGATCGAGATTGAACCGTAGGTTGAAAAACTAAAATGACCTGGACCGAGCCAAAATAAAAAATGAGTGACGGAGATTAAACCACAGGTTGAAAAACTCAAATGACTTGAATAGAGCTAAGGTCAAAGATAACCACTAAATTTTTTTAAAAAAAACATGCTTGAAAGTCTTATAGATCATATTTGGAGGTCCTTAAAAAATGAAAAAAAATGTTCTTAAAATCATAGGTGCGAAACTTTTCCCCATAGTTAAAAAATTTTGTATGCAATAAATGATTATGCAAATGATGCAAATGTAACAAATGACATTGATTATTCAAATAGGATGTAAATGCATGCCTTGTCCAAGATGCAAATGCCAACTAATGCCAATGCCCAGATGAAATCCCAATTGTGGTACTAAAGTTCT